AAGATCATGTGATAAATTCTATATAGAATGTCCACATATGATATGTGAAATTATCGCCACATATGCACATATATGCACATTACATATTTCAGTCCACTCTAGTATTATATCTTGTCACATACAGTAAATCACATAATGCAACAAGTAAGAGATTAACTTTGAAATTAATATTTAGAAATTGATTGTATGGTAATAAAATAGGAATATATATATATATTTTAATGATTAGTCAATAATTTGGTCTGAAAAATTCGTTGTGAACAAATAGGAGAAACGGACAGGTCATCTCAGCACAGGTTTTATATTGAAAGAATGCAAATGACAATACAAATAATACAGACAATTAGAACAATTTTATAACAGGCATGAAAAAAAAATGTTAATTAGTAAAAAGGAAAAATATATCAAGTAAAGATAAAAAAAGGAGGGACAGGTGCGCAACAATGATAACAATGAGAAACATGAACACGTCATCAGGAAAGGAGAGCGGTTTATTTTAAACATTCGCAAATGTTTTTAGACTTATAAATTTGGATTACAGTCACCTTAGGTGAGTTGATACTTCGGGAGGCAACAAACTTCAGTAGACCACGTTAAAATATGAAACTATAATTGTAGTTTGAATGTTGGAAACAGCCTTGGATCCTGACAATCTCAGTCTTCTTTCTATTTTAAATTTCCGTAAAACGAAATTCGACTTCACTTAACGATATCAAGGTTTATTTCGTATGTCGCAAATAATACACCGGACAAAAAGTGGAAGAAGGCTACTTCCATTCTCAACGATGGATTGTTAAAAGTCTGTATCTATGTAATTTTAATTTAACTTTTGGATGCAAAGGATAGAGAGAAGTCAGGCTATCATATCGAAACAATCACATAAGTGGTCTGGCTACGTGTCTGACTAGGAATGGGGTTATTATAACCGGTGGGCTCCATCTTAAGTCTGCGTGAAGGCTAGAGGCTTTATCTTCAATATTCGGTGTAGCCCTTTTACTAATCATTCTCTTGCTACTTCTATAAAAACAAGCGCAAGGGAATGATGCGCAGATGTTCTGGAACACTGTCAAATTGGAGATAGGCACAATGAAGTTGAGTTTGTCCTGTAATCGACCATTTTTACTTGGCAAACGTTCTTATAAATTTTATTTTTGCTTCACGACTTGTAGGTTCAATTTTCTGCCGACTAGTCTCCATTTTGAACGAGATGATTTGGGTTTATGTTGAATCAGAAGGATCGGAAGTAAGTGCATCTAACCAACTCCCCCAAATAAGGTTAGGATATAGTTTGATTTTGTTATCATGCCACTTTTTTTTCAAATTATTAATTTAACTTTTGAAAATTTACTATCAAGTGTGCGTAATATCATCGTCACGAGACATTTGTCTTAATCTTTAGATTAGACGTAGAGTAATTCTGGAAACATCTTTTCAAAGATCCTTCCCAATGACACAGTACTACAAAAACCACCACTTGGATCGGATTTTATTTTCTTCAAGTGAAGATGAGAACGATAATTTATTAATGGTAGATAACAACAGTGACGAAGAAATTCCTGCCTTGGATGTTATTCTTTCTTCCCAGTCAATTAATGTACCGAAATGGAATTTGTCCTCGGAAAAACTAGTTTAAGATATGTTTGCCAAAATTTATTACAGCATATTGAAATATTACAAAACAAAGAAAAGCTAACTACAGAAGAGAAAGTAACCTTAAGATATGGTGCATCAAGAGTTATTGATCTTTCGACTCACATGAGGGTATGGTTTACTGAAACTGAGCGTCAGGATATGATGAAAGATTATAACGAAATTCTCAAAATTCCCAAATTTATATAAGATATCAATAAGCATTGCAAAGGTGGAAAAGTAGGTATACAATATGTATCAAATATTATCTTACACATAAATGTTACGTAGATGGTAAATGAAAGGGATATTAAGGAGGCATATAAATATTTTATTATACGTGTCTTTACAAAATAAGTAAAATACATATGATTTATGAGTATTTTCTTATATGCTTGTCTACTTATCATTTTTAATTACCCACGTGGCCTCTACAGTGTTAAATATAAAAAAAATCTTTTACATTTCGATGGTGGGCATTATACTGGAATCGAAGTTATTGTAAAAACATGTGCTTACACCATCGATTGGCTGCAGAATGGAGCTGGATCATAAGGGAGAGATTGAGCCAGTCCGCTAGCCACGAAAAAGGTAGAAAATGTGACGTCATATTTTAAGTCATGCAGGCATGAGCCTTGGTGAATGGGAGTTTTCTGCTCAACCAACTCCAACTAAAGCAATTTGAAGCTTGTTGTCGCTTAGCTAGAATAAATCAGTCAACTTTGAATGATATTTTGTGGAGAGATTTAACTGATATACTCGAGGTTCCGTATTTACGAATTGTCGGTATTTTTGGACAATTATTAGTAGAAGACTTAGTAAATGGCTTTTATATCCCTTATCCCAGACCAATATCTGAGGTACCAATAACATTAAAAAATCAAAATCAGCAACGTCATTTAAGTATATAATGGTAATCACTTAGGGAAATGAAGTAATATCTAATAATTTGTGCAGGAAATGTATTAAAAAGTTAACGAAATGCTTGATAAGTTGAACAATAGTCGGAATTCACATGAAGAGATTTCAATGTTGATTGTTAATTATCCCAGCACAATTTTCGCAAATCTGTTTTAAGCATAAACAAGTATTAACTGTGATTAAAGAGATAGAAAAGTAGGAGCCATGTGTCTATTTTATTTAATAATTGAGGGCTGATAATCCTAAATGAGAGAATCATTGCGCTCACTTATTATTTTTTTTAATTAGTATACATTATTAGATACCCTTGACATTTATTTTTTCGAAATGTGACAAATTTAATAGCCAAATATCAATAAAACATCTATTGTTCCCTCAGAAATTGACTTTTTCTATTTTAATGCAGAAAAAAGTGAGTCATATTACGACCAATACCGGAAACCATATAATAAACAAATAATCGAATTTAAGTTTATTTTAAAAAAATATTCATTATTATAATTCTTATATTGAATGATTTACTGATAAATATTATAAACTTATTATAAAAGTTAAATCATCTTTCCATAAATAATAAATCTATTTCAATATAAAAATATTATGACAAGTAATTCATTGATTGTAATACAGAAAATGATTTAATTTAAAACCTGTAATTATAATTGTCTAAATAATTTCATGAATCATTCTGTTATCTGTTAAATGTTATCAAATAAATAGATAAATTCAAATTAACTTACAATTGTAATGATTTTTTTAACTTTTTATTAAATTCTGTATTAGTGTACAGCTTATATATTTTAAATCTTATTTTAACTATTATAATTTTATATTTCTTAATTCCGAGTAAGTATTTATAACTGTTCAACATTATTTGACTTTTACTGATTTAAATTTTTTTTAAATAATTATTGTAAACAAATTTGTTTTTAATTTATTATAAAACATATAAGAAATATTGTTTTTTAAAAATATATCTTGTAATGTACAAAGCAATAAAAAAAATAGTATTAACATATAAAAAAAAACTTTTTTCTATTTCCTTCAATTTTTTATAAAATTTTCTTTTTAAAACAAGTTTATAAGTTATTGTCAAGTTATTTTTTTCTTTAAAAAAACTTATTTCTTTTCTTTACCACTATATTAAATTTAATATAAACTTGAAAATCAAAAATCAAATTGAATCAAATTATTAGAATTCTTAATTGCAAGTAATCTTTTTAATCTTTTTATAATTTAAATCTTTTGTAAAATAGTTTTGTACTTTGTTTGGATTTGTTATTGTAAAAAATAATACTATTTCTAATAAATTACTTGTAATAATATTACTAATATTATTGTTTTCATAACTAGTTAAGCTATTAATTTTATCATTAATATATTAAAAATTATAATTATTAGAAAAAATTTCATGTTTTATTTTAAAAAAAATTATTGAAAAAAAAGTCAAACAATAATTTTTAGACTAAAAACAATATCAATATTAATTCATATTTGTTTAACAAGCCATTTATCAATATCTAAAAAAAGACAATATAGAATTAATGACTAAATATCAAATAGAATCAAAATAGAATAAGTGAAAAAGCTCAAACTATCTAACTAGATTCTTATTAATAAAATATTTTCATATTGTATTTGTATTGCAATTTCTTCATTAAATAGTATTTAATATATGTATTGTCAAATCCCTTGATATAAACTATTTATTCGTATTTTTTATGTCATCAAAGTTATGTTAATTATTATTTTATATAAGCTTAATTCATTGGAACTTAGTTATCTGTGGATCTGTAGTGTAGTAGTTAACACTTCACAGGTCAAATCACAAGATACCAGTTCAACCCCATATAAAAATGGTTAAATAGAATTAATATAGTATCTAGCGCCATAACCTATTAAACGCTATTTCTCACATGAAGCCATTTCACACGCTAATCTAGCGGATGTTGAGATTGTGATTTCCAGAAAAGGTGACGAGGCGTAATGATTATCCGGTGGGAGTTACAATAATCATTGCCAAGTTTGGGGTGATTTCCAGTTTCACAATAGGCTGTTTTCCTTCCCCTATAGTCCATGAAACTATAAAAGAAATACATTACAGAGGGCCACAAACCAGAGAAATTGGACAGCAAGACTATAACACGATTCCCCCTTCAGCATGAGTTATGACTCACCAGCAATATTCACCATTCTTACCTGTAGTGAAAGTACTCAGTTAGTAATGTTTGCCAGAATAGAAGATCTCCCTAAGACCTAGCCTGACTTTGGAGGAGTTGCGCCCTCTTAAATAAGCAACTTATACTTGAAGCCCAGTATTATCTAAAGGGATTGGATTATCAACCCTATAGGTTTAAAGGTATTGAACCAAATCCTGGCCATAGGTTCCATCCGCTTTTCAAATGGTGATTCTCCAGGCTTAACACCCTATGAAGAAAACTGAAAAAGACAGAGATACAGTACTCCGATAGGTAATCCGCTTAGTATTAAAGATCCTTACTGAAAGGTTTACATCTTGTGACTGAAAGATGTAAGAAAATATTTGGGTGGCAGACTATACCCAGATGGCCTGATGGCCCATGGGTAGATTCTAATTTATATATATAGGTTTAGTATAGATTAATGTTGTATATATTTTGTATGTAAGGACCTATCTACAAATAAACCAGACTAGAGTGTTGTCTCACTTTTAGCAATTTTAAAAAAAAAAAATTCACTGGAATCTAGTAATATGTCAAAAATTAGTATATTTTTACACTTAAAGTATATATCATGTGACAAATTGGTAATAGCTACATATATAACACCAGTACTATACTATTATACTTAATTTTTGTCCAAGATCTTTATTAACTCTTATCTGATTTTTACTAACATTTATTCTTAAAATATTATTTATTCTAAAATAATTCTTGTATTACTATTCTTGTTATCTTTTTATATTACTGTTGTTCTAGAATATTTTTTATTTATCTTATTTATCTTTATTATTTTATCTTCACCAGAGCATTTATTTTTATACTAACATATACAGATAACTGTTCTGACAAATATAATACTTTTTTATATCTCTATTATTTTTTATAACTCATAATTATTATATACAAAAATAATATAGCTCAAACATATATATAAAGTTTTTAATTTCATTTAAAAATTAATAAACTTGAATTTTTATTTTTTATTAAACAAATAAATTAATCTTTATAAAAACAAATCAATATTGTCTCTTTTGTTTAACCTTATATATCTCATAATTGTACTAATTTGTATACCTCTAGTAACTTTAGCATATCACATTGGTTTCTTTCATTTAAAATATCTCATTGCTACTAGTTTTCCATTTTTATCTTTCTCTAAAGTAGAAATAATATATGACAATATATTTTGTTTTTTTTTTTTTTTAAGTAGGTAAACATCATTTCTTTATTTTATTTGTATATGACAAGGTATACATCGTGAAAGA